TAAAATCTTCACCTCAGGGTCTGCATTGGGAAACCTGACCTAAGACAGGGCCTATGCATATAACAAAGTTCAGAATACTGTAGGACAGTCCCCACGCATATGAGGAGCAAAGCTCTGGACATAAACCAGTAATTTCTGCACAGAACACATACATAGAGCCCATTTTCTTTCTTTCTTTTTTTTTACTTCTCATTTATTTATTTATTTTTTTAACTTTTATTTAATGAATATAAATTTCCAAAGTACGACTTATAGATTACAATGGCTTCCCCCCCATAACGTCCCTCCCCCCCACAACCCTCCCCTTTCCCACTCCCTCTCCCCTTCCATTCACATCAAGATTCATTTTCGATTATCTTAATATACAGAAGATCAGCTTAGTATACATTAAGTAAGGATTTCAACAGTTTGCTCCCACACAGAAACATAAAGTGAAAAATAATAGATGATTTTTTTTAAATGATGATGAAATCAGATCAGACCTATTGTCATGTTTAATCCCAGTGAGAGTCAAGTTGGGAATTGATAATTTCTTTCTTTCTTTTTTTTTTTTTTTTACAGAAGATCAGTTTAGTATACATTAAGTAAAGATTTCAACAGTTTGCACCCCCATAGAAACACAAAGTGAAATACACTGTTTGAGTACTCGTTATAGCATTAAGCCTCAATGTACAGCACATTAAGGACAGAGATCCTACATGAGGAGTAAGTGCACCGTGACTTCTGTTGTTGACTTTACAAATTGACACTCCTGTTTATGGCATCAGTAATCTCCCTATGCACCAGTCATCATAGAGCCCATTTTCAATCACAGCCCATCTTTATAGCACTGCCCAGCATCCTGCCAGATGGCAGTGCTATGGTTAGGGCCCATGTGAGTAATAATAGTAATAACTAATATTTGTTGAGCTTTTACTTATGTGCTGGAGACTGTTCTAAGCATGTGTTACCTCATGTTATCTCATTTTGGTCTCAAAACCACACCCCCAATGAGATATAGTTAAGGGGAGAAAACACAGCCCAAATGCTGTTGCATCCTTTTGATAGGGGTGAAGAGTCCTGCTCCATGGCCTCCTTAATTTCTCCACCCTTCTTCCAACTCCTCTCCTTCAGATGTGACTGACTTGATGGGTCCTTTTGGAAGGAGAAACTGGGCATGTGTAGCCAGCCTGTACATCTCTGCTTTATCTTGGGACAGGAGTAGCTGTTTTGCTCCAGTCCAGTGCTGCACGTCACTGGGCGGGGAAGGAGGGCCAGTCTCTTGCTAGTGTTTAGTATTAGGAGGCCCAATTCATTACTTGCAGGTTTAACCACATTCTCTCCTTAACCCTTTCTTCTTGTTGTAAAATTTGGACAAGGAAGAAGAATGTGAATCACCTGTTCCCCTCCAAGCCCAACAGATACTATCACCTTCATTTGATAAAGGAAGAAATAAAAGCATAGAGAAATAAATTAACTTGTCCAAGGTCATGCAGCTAAGTGGTGAAAGCCAAGTTCAAACCCTGTTCTAGAGCCTGACTTCTTGGGTTTGAAGAGGCAAAGGCAACGGAAAAGAGAACAGCAATGAAAAACTGAGAGGAGATGAGTCTTTTAAGGTTTATTTACTTATTTTGAAAGTCAGAGTTTCAGCAAGAAAGGAAGAGACAGAGAGACAGGGATCTTCCCAGGGCTGGGCCATGCTGAAGCCAGGAGCCAGGAGCTTCTTCCAGGTCTCCCAAGTGGGTGCAGGGGCCCAGATACTTGGGCCATCTTGTACTGCTTTCCCAGGCCATAAGCAGAGAGCTGGATTGGAAGTGGCAGCTGGAACTCAAACAAGTGCTCACATGGGAGGCCGGCACCACAGATGGTGGCTTTACCAGCTTCGCCACAGTGCCAGTCTGATAACAAGTCTATCTAATCTGGGCACTGTTTATTCCTACCAAACAGGTAGTGCTAACACATCCTGGTTACCAAACTCTGGTCACCTCTACCCTGTGACCTTAAAAAATCTGTCCCTCATAGCGGTCTGGACCAAGCTCATTGCTGACCCCCTCTTCCCTACTTCGCCTCCTTTTGGATTTCCGGTTTCAATTGGGAGACCTGACACAGATCATGAAAAGTGCTTTTTCCTCACCAAAGGGGCAGTCTGAGCAGGATGGAGCCCATTAGATTAGTTTGACATAAAAACAACCTTAGCATAATATGCATGTTATTAAGTAGCTCAAAGAGCTCACCTTCATTTTGGATCTTAGAAAAGCTTTTGCTTTGTTTCTAATTAAAAGAAATTTAAAAGAAAATTAAAAGAAAGCTTTTGCTTTCTTTCAATTAATTCTTTGGTTTTTATGATTTTGTCTTGATTTGCTTTTATGTGCTTCTTTCTTGGTCCCATTATCTGTTTTCACTGAGATGGTGTGTAATAAGACTGCTTGACCTTACAATGACCCCAAATCAACTGATTATTCTATGTAGCAGATTGCCAGCATTGAAACTACCCAATCTCTAGCCTTTACCACAGTCCTCAGTCCCTGACTAGCACACTGGTACTCATGAGCCAGTGAGATCACTAGGGAACAATGCTCCCAGCTGCCGAAACAATACCAGACGCTGATAGCAAAGAACAGACAAGCCAACAACAAGGATGCAAAAGATATGATAGCTTTGCAGTCTTGCAGAGCAAAAAGCCAATTAGCTCCGAGTAATTCCTAAAGGAATCATCATAACATGTAAAAATAGTTCTGCAGGCTCTGTGAGAAGGGAAAACCAAGGTCTCAGAGGGCAACATTGTTGCACTCAGGTCATTGCACATTAGAGGTATACTGAGTAGCATACACACTGCATACAAGTTAGTGTTTGGGAGGAGAAATCACTGTGTTTCATGATAAGGCAAGCCATAATACAAGAGAATACAGTAACTCAGTGTCTCTCACAGGAGGTGATCTTACCACCCAGGAGACATTCAAAGTATCTGGACACATTGTTGATTGTAACAACTGGTGTATGTATGTGCTACTGACATCTAGTGGGTCCTTGCTAGAGATATTGCTAAACATGCTACAGTGCAGAGGACTCCACCCAAATCCCTCTTCCCGGCAAAGAATTTTCTGATCCAAATGCAGATAAGAGTCCAAGGTTAAGAATTCTTCCTGTAGATTCTACAGAGAAGTGTATAGTAATACAGTACTTGTATTACAGTAAAGATGATTTCAAAATTACAGAGAGAGAGAGAGAGAGAGAATGAATCTTCCATCCACTGGTTCACTCCCCCAAATGGCCACAATGGCCAGGGCTGGTCCAGGCCAAAGCCAGGAGCCAGGAGCTTCACCCAGGTCACCCACTTGGGTACAGGGGACCAAGGACTTGGGCCATCCTCCTGTGCTTTTCCAGGCCCATTAGCAGGGATCTGGATCAGAAGTGGAGCAGCCAGGACTTGAACCGGCACCCATATGGGATGCTGGCACTGCTGGTGGAGTCTTAGCCTTCTATGCCATAGCTCGGGTTCCAAGTAGTGTCTTAATGGCTTTGTTACATGTCAACTGCTTCTGAAACACTTTAGAGTAAGTTGCAAAGTAATGCTACATTATCTCTAAAGACTTCAATAGTGGGTTAAAGCCCTGGCCGGAAGTGCCAGCATCGCATATGGGTGTTGGTTCGAATCCCGGCTTCTCCACTTCTGGTCCAGCTCTCTACTATGGCCTGGGAAAGCAGTAGAAGATGGCCCAAGTCCTTGGGCCCCCACACCCGTGTGGGAGACTAGGAAGAAGCTCCTGGCTCCTGGCTTCAGACCAGCACAATTGGGGAGTGAACCATTGGATGGAAGACCTCTCTCTCTCTCTGCCTCGCCTCTGTGTAACTCTTTCAAATAAATAAATAAATCTTTAAAAAAAATAAAGATTTCAATAGATGCTTTCTTTTTAAAAACATTGTTTTATTTCTTAATAAAGCAATTAACTTGTTAATTAAGCAATTAACATGGATATAATATTATTACTTAATTTACAGACATGGAATTTTGGTTAATTATCCCAATAATGCTCTTTATAGAAAAAGAAAAAAATTTTCTGGCTGGTAAATAGTTATGTCTCATGTCATCATTAATCTGGAGGTATTATTCAGTCTTCCATGACCTTGATGATTTTGAAGAGTGCAAGCTAATACTTTTTAAAAAAAATTTACTTATTTGAAAGACGGAGTTACACTGAGAAAGGGAGAGACCGAGAGACAGAAAGCTCCAGCAGAAATCAGGATCCCTGAACTCTATCCGGGTCTCCCAAGTCTCCCACGTGGGTGGCAGGCCTTCTGCTGCCTTCTCAGGTGCATTAGCAGGGAGCTGGATTGGAAGTGGAGCAGCGCAGATTTATTGGGGCATCCATTGGGTTGCAGGCCAAGGCTTAACTCACTAAGCCACAACACTGGCCCCAAAGTAAACATTTTGTTTCTCCTACTTGCGCTCCCTAGTTTAGGCCAAGCTAAGAATGATAACTTGCAAACACAGTAGTGTTAGGATTTAGGGATCCACACAGGGCTAGACTATCTTTTCTATTAGCACAATGCTTGGTATGTATTAAGTGGCTGCTCCCTCTCCTTTTGATTTGCTGTATGTTAGAAACTTAGCTGTATGTAAGCAACTTAGCTGCTTAATATTTCTGCCTTGCCTGCATACAGACTGTGAGTTCATTGAAGGTAGGCATCATGGATTATTGTTTCTCTACCTCCAGTGTTTAGTCCAAATTGAAAAATTGTAAAGTACATGCTTGAATTAGTGGTCTGGGGTGGGAATTAGGAAAGAAGACGCGAGCTAGGAGAAGGCCTCGCTATGGCGTTTTCCTGTTTTCCAAAGGGAAGCACGGCGAGGAATGGGGAGGGCGCCGCCAGGGCAGCCACTTGGGGAAAGCGCCCACGGTTGTCTCCTACCTAGTTGGTGTCCCGGCCTAGGGCTTCCGCAGGGTGGGGCGGGAAATCGAAAATCGAACTCGGAGCTCCCGGCATTCCTCGTGGGCGGTGCTCCCCTTTGACCTCTCGTTCGCGTGCTACACATCCGGGCTTCTGTTACTAGCGAGGGGAAGATGGCGGCGGCAAGTGTGGTGCTTCCCGCAGAGTGGATAAAGAACTGGGAGAAATCAGGGAGAGGCGAATTGTGAGTGTTCGGGCTGGAGGCAGCCTCACAGCCCGGCCGGGTCAGGGTGTCGGCAGCACCCTCAGGTGTGGTGGGAGGTTTTTTGGCGGGGGGGGGGGGAGTACCCCCTCCCCCACCGGGGTGGCGGGCGTGGATGGTTGGCTGGGAGTTTAGAACTCAGGGAGGTGAGGTGCTGTTAAACCACCGCTGACCTCCTTCCTTCCCCGGCCTCTCCGAAATCCTGCTGCCTGTGTTAGCCCGGCTTCCTTTACCCTCTTAGCAGTACTCCTGTTTCGCCCCTGCCGGTCCCCGCGCTTCTGCTCGGTCTCTCTCTCTCTCTCTCTCTCTTTTTTTTTTTGTCCCCCTCTTCGTTTGAGCTCACTTGGCTCCTTTCTCTTTATGGGTCTGCACTGGGGGTGATTCGGACTTTGCATCTCTCTCTGTCCCATTTCTTCACTCTGCACCCGTTCGACTCCGCAGTTTGAAGCCTGCCCGAAGTCCGAGGAGGGCGAACCGTCCCGGACTCCCTCCCCTCCTCTCCTCTCCGCCCGCCGCCTAGAAGCCTGGGGCATCGCGAAGAGCCCGGCTTGGCACCTCTCGGACTGTCCCGGCCTTGCGCGGCGCCGCGGGCCGTGGGGAAGTGACAGAGATTGCCGCTTTCCCTGAAGACTGCTGGCATTTCTTTGCTCCGTCTTTTCACCTTAGAGCTATTTCGGTTTGGACTCAACTTTAGTCATTACATGTTTCTTATACCCCACTTGGTCCTGGGACTGTAACTAATTCTGGCAGCTCTTCAAGTTCTCCAAGTACCTAGGATACTACGTTTCCTTTAATGATAAAACTTATTCCCGCCCCCCCTCCCTCCGTAATAGAAAACAGTAATTTGGCATACTTGCGGCTTCCTCGCCCAAAATTTCAGCGCTTCCCCATCCCCCTTGGAAAAAAAATTAAGCAGCAGCACAAATCGCAGATGTAAAAGATAACTTAGTTCTAATTTCTTTCCCTGAATCGTTTTAGAAGCTCAGCTCTGTATAAGATCACCTCCTGTTAACCGTTTTGTCATCGTTGTGTCCCCCTTCCCCCATCCCTCTGTGTGGCAAGTGTACTATTGCTAGCGCAAAAGATACAAATCTTTGCAAGTTTGTTACTTGGAACGAAAAGAAAAGCTGGGAATGTGTTGTCTGATGTGCTAGTGTTGCCAGCCTATATCACCTATTCCCTCCCACCGCACTACTTTATATCTTAACTGTGAGCTCTAGAATTGGATTGCCTGAATCATAAGCGGCTGTCTTAGCCACTTAACTAGCTGAGTGACCTTGGGTAAGTTCCTTAACCACTTTTACTGTTTCCCCTTGAGTAAATTGGGAATAATAAGTGCTCTAAGGATTGTTGTGAAGGCTACATAATGCCTGTAAAGCACTTGGCTTATAGTAAGTGCCCAAAGTGATAGCTATTAAAAGTAATATTATTTCAATCTTTAAGATATTTAAACTTCTCAGGACAGCTCTCGCACTTAAAGGCTGCACTACTCAGGTTAGCAATTAATTGGTGTCTGACTCCTGCATGTGTATTTAGTCTTGTACTCTAATGAATTGTGAGGCTGTTGGAGGATAGGAACTATGTTTCATTCCTTTTGGCTCAGCCCCCACCCCAGCTTATGCTTATAGTGCTTATTGGTTTGTTAACTGACCAGAGAATTTTTTTTGATAAACATTTCTTGCTAACTGTTAGAAAACATTTTCCAAATCCTTGTATGTGCTGGTTAGCAAGCAGCTGTAGCTGTCAAGTCCCTCATGTGCAAGGAAGGTGGGATGGAAAGTTACCAAACCGTCATCTTCATTTGTATTAGGGTAACCCCCAAACCCAGACAAGACTGTTGTTCGCTTTTAAAGCCAACTCTTTTATTCCAGGGCTGTCATCTTTGTAGGTTGCTCAGCTTCCTTATTCCAGCTTCAGTTTTTGACAGTTTTATTATAATTGCTTCTGCCTTAGAATGAATGATATATGGATAGGAGGTGAAATTCTGCTTGGCTTCTAACTGGCGGTGGTTGGAGAAAAAAACAAGTTATGTAGGGGTTGACATACCTAGTTCAAATGGAATTTTGGGATCATTTTAAATGTATTTGCCTGATCCATGCTACCCATAATACTTGTAGTTTCTATGTTTGAAGAGCTGCTTTTAAGGACTTAATGTGTAGGAAGTTATTACAAGGCTTGTGGAATATGGTTTATGTGATAGATGTGTAGCCAGTTTTATGATTGTATTTTGTTACATGAAGATAATTTAAAGTTATTATGTGACATAACATTCCAAGTAGCCAGACACATAAATATCCAGTACTTAGTTTTCATTTATTTAACCTTTTTCCTTCATGAAAGCTTAATTATATAAAGCTTAACATGGGAATTTTTGTATCTTGTTAAAGATGCATATTAACATTTTCATTTTGTTAGGACAAATGGTGTTATATTGGAAATAATCATTTCCTTTGCCTGAAAATAGAACCTCTTAAATATGAAAGAGAAACTCAAAACATTAAAGCAAAAGTAGTGTCCCATTAAATTATTAGTGGACTCATTTATAGATTTGGCTTTTAGACTTATTAATATCGAAAATTATATATTGGGCAGATTTTTCCTCTTTAAGGTGATAAATTTTCAGATAAGCTTTAACATGATTAAAAATTATCTTTTAAAAAATGTATGATATATTCTATGAGGTTGTTCATTTCTGTCTCTTAACAGCATAAGTCTATTCTGGGTGTTATAGTGGACTTGAGCATAACTGTGTTAAAAACAAACAGGTGATATGGGGCAGTTTGTAACTTTAATTTTGCCACATGAAAAGCAACTGTGTATTGGATGGAGGGTCTTGGCTTTGAAGAATAAGTTTTGTCAGATAATTAAGCTGAAAAGTGAAACTGTATTTTTCCTGTCTGAATGATCCATCACATACTTAGCTACCTTATTGTGTTTCCAGAGATACCGATCATGTTTTTAATGATAAATTATAGAACTTAAATTTTTTTTTTACTTGAGAAACAGAGTCAGAAAGAGAGAGCTCCCATCTGCTGGTTCACTCCCTAAGTGCCTGCTACAGCTGAGGCTGAAGCAGGGATTGGGAACCCAGTGTGTGTCTCTTGTGTGGGTGGCAGAAACCCAACTACTTGAGCCATCACCTGCTGCCTTCCATGATGCACTGAAATTGGGAGCAAAGACTAACCCAGACACTTCCATATGGGATGCAAATGTCTGTCTCTATAGACCTTTTAAAATGATCTTTTCCAAGAAGTAGCAGGGAGCACTACCAAAATGTAATTATTTATTAAGTGTCCTTTCCAGTAATACTCAGACCTACTCTGAACAGGTTTCACTTCTAAATGCAAACTCAAATTCTGCACATATACAGGATACAGATTTAACCACTTTAAGTTTGGAATTAGAGTTTTAGCTTCTTGATAGATCCATGTCAGCATAGGACTTGCCATGACTAAGCTAATAAACTTGTATGTACTGGTAGTTCAGAGAATTATGTTTTTAGTAGAAATCATTAGCACAGTGAGCTCAGCATTTCTTTGTCACAGGCAACCTTAATGGAGGATTTATATCCCAAGCTCTTAATCTGAAGGTGTTAGCCTCATGTCACTACTTGTTCTAATTTTGAAATAGATTTGTCAAATATCATCTATTTCTATTTGAGAACTTTCTTTTCATTTAAAAAACTTACATATCCCAATTAGAAACTTTGCTTTGGTCTTCATTAATTATTGATAGTTATAATAAATGTCATTGCCAACTGTTTTGGTTACAATTCTTTTTCTTCTGCTTATGCCACATGATTCTAGACATTCTGGAATTTAAGTACATTTGGGCATTCAGTAAATGTTGTCTGACCTGAATTTTTCTGAGGGAACTAAGAGGAGAATTTTAGTCTTGGTGCCTCCCCCTTCCAAATTGCTGCAAATCAGTCAAAGCTTTATCTGAAGCATTTCTTTCATGTCTTAGTTCCCATTTGGCATTTGGTTTCTCATTTTAACCTGTATTCATGAGTTAAGTATATGTTTTGGTTTGTTTTCCTTCATTCTTCAGAAAATGTTGAAGCAGTATCAGGAGATTATCTAGGATACTGCTTTCTTTGTTAAAAAATATTCTGTAACACTTAGATGTTGAGGTAAAGTGAGTGCTATTAATATACTTGTGCTTTTTTCTACTGTAAGTGCAGGAACTTCTGTTGTCTTTTTTTAAAAACATTTCCTGTTTCCTACCTCATGAATGCTTGTTTCCACAAGATAAAACTATTTTATCCCAGTATTCATTTTTGTTGGTTATATCTCTTTTCTAACACTGATAATAGAGGTAGCACTTTACTTAATTGAATTTAATGGTTTTTGTGCCTCGTTTTAAAGAATTAAGTGAAGCATGGTTGCCTTTTATGTATGAAGCAAACGTTGAGATGTCAGCATAATCAGATAGTTCAGGATTGTGCTGTTTTCTTTGTACTGGAAAATGTGAGCAAATAAGGTGAAAGCTAAATATTTGTGTTAATAAGTATTCACAAAATATTTCATAATCCTTGGAAGAAGTTGAGACATTTTATTCAGTTTTTCCTGAATCTTTAGCTGAAAGTAAATTCTATTCTTGTTCTCAGGGACCTGAGAGCATGTCCACAGTGATGCTAATTTTTTTTTAATTACTTGAGAGACCAGTTACCCATCTGCCTTTGTCAAATGTTTTCAACAACTGGGGCTTGGCCAAGCTGAAGCCAGGAGGCAGGAACTCAACCTAGTTCTCCCATGTGGGTGGCAGAGAACCAGGTACTTGAGACATCTATATCCTAGGGGCATATTAGAGTTTGAGCTGAGCTGGGACCCTAACTCAGCACTTGGATATGGAATGCACATGTCCTAAATGGCTTCTTAACCATTACATTAAATGCTTGTCTCCTAAATTGTTTTAAAAGTGGAACAAATGGTAAATTCAAATATTTGGAGGTTATTAATTAAGGGACTAAAATAATAATC